GTAAATGGTACAGTCAGTGTACTGCATAGTTTCTACGTGATCCAGGGCAACACAGAAACTGTAAAGGGGATCTTGTGAGCGACCACCGAGCCACAGCACACCATTGCAGAGCCCACGGAGTCACATGACTTCAAACCATCCGTAAAAAAGGGAACAGAAGAATGGTTCGAAAGAGGAGACAGTACTTCGAATAGGGAGTATCCGCCTTCCTTAGATGACTCAAGGAAAGGTCACAGGTGGTTGTGGTAACGAGCCGTGGAGGAATGGGCTCGTCATCGGATTCAGCAAAATCATCCCAAGTGAGCCAACTGTGCCTGGATACGAAGGAATAGCGAACCGCCGATTCTTAAAGAACAAAGCCCATGTAGGAAGGAAGATGCAACCCCATGTAGGATGCTGTGGTAAGGATGAAAGCTTGGTAACATAAGCAAAGAAAGTTTCAAACGTCTGAGGGGAAGATGAGGTTCGTCGGACTCAGTGTACAAACTCTGCGAAAAGCCCCCGTGCAGAGCTGAAGCCTTGGATGGTGTACAAATTCGAACATCTTAGTCGTTTTGAGTTTTCGTGAATGAATCGAACGTCGGGCTTGTATCTTGGTATGAAGTTGGCGGCATGTTTAAGAGAATAATTGCTTGGATCCATATAGAAACACGGGCTCACTAGCTAGAGACTCAAAGAAAATGACTGCAGTGTGCTTCAACCATGAAACATCTGGTCCACACGAATGGGATTAACTACTATCAGAAACTTCATGGAAAGTTAGAAAAATATTACTTGAATATGCCAGAATAAAGATATATTTTATATTAGTTACGAACTATTTCAGTCATTGCACTGAAAAAAACTGTACTTTTCTGTTGAGAATAAAAATCGTTTTAAGTTTCAATATAAATGCTCTTAATCCAAGTGTTTTTATGGTTAGTGTCGACTGTGAACCTTTGAGTCCCGTGTTTGCATCCCATTACCGCCAAACAACAATCGTGCTTCGATAATTATTATGCATTACACTTACTCTATATAATCAGGGTATGACAACAACCATTATTAATCAAAAGAGCCTTTGTATGGAAAAAAAAGAGCTTGATAATACACAAACTGAGGCCTGACATTAACCAAGTGCTGTGACTTATATTTATCACTTCATTTATTAAATGTAATCAGGTAGAACTCGAGCAATGTGTGTGTCGAAGTTGAATACGATCGACAACGACGTTCAAGTATACTTTGGATGTTATTCGCCTTTTAAAAAAAATCCAACTCCAGATATGGGAACATTCCATACAGTATAACCGACTTTCAATAGTTTGCACTGCCGAAATAACGTGCACTAGCAGAGACAGGTATCTCATTATCGTTCAACCATTATTCCATAAAAAAAAGGTGAAATGCTGCTCATCAGACACTCATCCCACGCTTTCATCATCTAGTATCCAAACTTTGCATCTCTGAATTGGTACTTTCCTGTTGCATCTAAGATTAAACACTTTTTGCACTTACTTTTGAGGCCCGACATGCCCAGGTGTTTAGGGCGCTCTACTCGCAATCTGAGAGTCGCGGGTTTGAATCCCCGTCACACCAAACATGCTCAGCCGTGGGGGCGTTATAATGTACGGTCAATCCCACTATTCGTTGGTAAAAGAGAAGCCGAAGAGTTGGCGGTGGGTGGTGATGACTTGCTGCCTTCCCGCTAGTCTTACACTGCTAAATTAGGGACGGCTAGCAAAGATAGCCCTCGTGTAGCTTTGTAGCGAAATTCAAAACAAACAAACTTACTTTTGGCGGTTTTTCTAATAGTTTTCTCGTGATACTTTTCGAAATAGTAAAATCCTGACTGGAGTTTAATGGCTCAGATAAATGAAATAAAGTCGATTCTCCAGCTGTATTATTCATCTGTTGGTAGCCACATTTTTATAGTGGTAAGCATGTTTTTCTTCTATGACCTCTATTAATAGACTCTCGATTTTTTCCGTCACAAGTATAGAGAAATTATACAGATTAAGAAAAACGAGAGGTTCAACTCTTGACTTCCATGAATAGCATAAAGCAGGATAAAAGGTGTTTTTTTTTGCATTTCGTTACGAAAATGTCTAGTTTTTAGCGGTACAAGTCGTCAGACTTGTCGCTGTGATACTGGTTTTTTTAAATTTAACGAGGTAAATGTCTATTATAGTATCACAAATCCATTAGAGTGAGGGCTTTATTTTAATGTGAAGAACAAATATATTTCAACAATTTAGTTTAGGGATAAATATATAAAAAACATATGTTATTAAAAGGTAGTACGGTTGTAAAATTTATTAAATTAAAAAGCAGTTAATGTTACTTGTTGCTAGTGTCATCTAGTGAGAAGTGTTGTACTTATAAAAATCATGAATTTCAGTATTTTATAATGATAATGTTTTGATAGAATAATAATAATAATTATGAGTGGATAAGTTAAGCTGGGTAAATTACATGTATTTCCTGTGCAGGTTTATCTGTAATGATTGTCGTAATTGTAAGAGAGTGGCGATTAATATAATTGTTGTTTTGTTTTGGAATCCACACTTACATTATAATATTGTAGTGATATCTCACGCTGTTGAGAGTAGTTATGGCGGCTAACTACTTGGCATTTATATTGTGAGGAGAAAAAAAGTGTCTTAAATGGTTTAATCATTTAAAAATTATGAATAATTTGTTGGATCTAAGGCTTTTTTCTTTGTTGTAAATCACAAAGTTACACGATAGGCTATTTGTGCTTTGTCCACCATGGGTATCGAAACTCGATTTTTAGTGTTATAAGCCCACTGACTTACCGCTAAGCAACAAGGCGTCAGACCGAAGGCATTAGATATTATTACATCGGCTGTTAAGCCTAACTGTTTCTGTTGTTAGAGAGTTAACAGCTAGGTTGACTGTATTATTTATAAATTCTTGAAATGTGAAATTTCAATATAATAATTAATGATTATTCATTAACTGTTAACCGAGATGTACACACATGTATGTAAACAAACAGTGAGAGGTCGCCATGATCTCTGTTACCACCCTCTCTCTCTGACAGAATAACTAGTTATCAAAGGAGTTATTTAATATGGCGACCTTTTTTACTAATCAATTAAAAATTCAGAAAATCATTGCCTGAGGTAAATTATTTTAAGTGTACACAAGGTCGGAGAGCTTTCAGATAATAATAAAACCTTCATTTTATATCAAGTGTTCCATATTAGAGACATGATTACAATTCTATCAATACACGAAATAAGGAGTTCACACTTCTTCGCGACGCCGCAGGACTACACCACTGTACACAGAGGATAACTTTATTTATTTGAGCGGATTTTATATACTAATACAAGGGCTTCTCGCCTTATATGCGAGCCGTAGCGCCATGGGCCACATGCTTAGCGGCGTGTAATGTTGCCTAAAGTACTTATGGCTGGAAGAACAAATCACAACTTTTTCCAAATAAGGATATTCGTATAACTAGATAGTTAATTTATGTAAGGCTAAAGGACATAGTCCAGTGAATAGGGGAAGAATTGTGCACTTTATGGTAAAATCATGAAATTGGCACTCATATACACTATGTAAATGTACATTAGTGCCATTCTAGACTTGGCTTATGGCACCCGTTGCGACCACTTTTTAAAATGGTGGACATTTTCCGGAGTAATACTCTATACCTTGGAAACTAGCAGGCATAGAATCATTATTCCAGTATCGACATATAGGCTATTATTGTGACAGAATTCAAATAAAATATTGTTATGTGCGTCAGTCCAGCGGTCTGCCATTTTTAAAGATGGCAAATCTAAAACCAGCTGAAATACGATGACTATGGAGCTTGAGGGCCTAGAATCCTTGTTCTGGTGAAAAGTTATATGTTTTTTGGGGATTAGGGAGTTCAAAAAAGGTGTTTTCACGATCACTAGACCATGGCACCCGCCATTTGTAAATATGGCGTACAAAAAAATGCAGCCTTGTTAAGTCATGAACTTGAAGGCCCAAAGCTTTCATTCCGGTGTCAGATACTTGGAAATAAGCAATAATATTTTCTTTGAATAATGTAGCAATGCAATTTGTTACAGCTATACTTGGGAAATTACCAGAAGTCGTAACATTACATTTTCCCCGTAGTTAACCTATAGATGCTGTGATATTTTAGATAAATTGTACATGTAAAACTGTGTGATCCTGTAATATATTGCACTGTTTGTGATCTTTAAACTAACAAGATCCTCCACAGATGCACAGGGCAGTGCGGCTTTTACACATTTACAGTATGATCAGCAGTCTTTGGTGTAACCAGAGCTCAAAAGTTCTCCACACACTTTGCTTGCCTCGGGGAGGTTGCTCCATCAGCACTCTGTGCTGCGTTTTTTATCAACAATCTGAAACGTAGTCTCCACAATCGGACAGTAAGTAAGAGTAGTCCACAGAAAACTATTCATCATATCAGTTGTCATGCTTGCTTCGTTAATAGTCCTTCCATCAGTAAAATCTTTTCGGAAGTAATACGTTTCTAAGATTTATTTTTTTCTCGAAGCCGTCAACTAGAAGGTTGGTCTTGCAAAAAACATTTATTACTCTTCATTCAAGTATAATCCCATCTAGTTGTGAGGTCAGACGCTCGGGTATGTTGTATTACACACGAATGTTCACACTCGGGTGAGGCTGGTCCTGACAGCATTCCTAAAGGACGACCATATTTGGTGACGGAGAGTCGAACACTCTAGCCATCAAGCCAAACAATAATACAATATATATATACATATATCTAAAATACTATGTATTATGTTTAATGTGAAATGTGTTAATATTTTGTTTTCAAATCCTTTCCTTAAAGATATAAAATGATTTTTGGGGTGCAATAGCCATTATAATGTAAGCGAACATTTAGAAATATTTTGTTTTACATTACATGGTTTCGATAAAAAAAAATGCATGTCATACTTCAAAAACAGTTTGACTCAGAACGCTTGTTTATTTGTCTTTTTTTTTTTAAATATATCAAGGTACAGATTTAACTCTCAAGCAGAAATAAAACAATGTTAAAAAACAATGAACGATAAAGTTTAATTTCCTACAACATGTAAATTTATTTAAAACGTTTAACATAGCAAATAAACTTATCAATTTGTAGATGGGTTCAAATACATGAAGTTAAAACGTCTGCTTCACAAAGTTTTCGTAGTAATTTTCACTAGGAAAAGAAGAAAGAAAACAAAAATATTTTAATTAAAGAAATAAATAGTTTTCTCATTGAATATGTAATCTTCCAATTATCCAATATGCAGTTAAATCTAACTATTTATTTTTAAAAGTTAATCAATATAGTCTTGTTGATGTTTTGTATCCGTTTATTAATATAATTTTCTAAAGACATTCTAACATAATTTTAAGATTAATTTATACTTAGTCCAGCACATTTCTTAATCTAAATACATTGAAATATACAAGTTGATTACACCAGTGCTCAAACATTGTTTGTGTTTAAAAATATATTACAACGTACAAACGAATAACGTCGTTACTTTTTGCCTTAGGGTGTAAGCCAGTAGGTATATGAAAAAAAAAAGTAGTTTTATAATAAAAGTATCGAATGTATACATACACTAGCTTAAGATCAATGGCCGCGTCTAAAATGACCATATCTGGTCACTAGCAATAGAGTTATGATCAAATGTGGTCATTCTATCAATTTCTTAGAAATTAGCTCTATAATTTAGTGGGTTATTTATAACTGGTTACAAGCATTTGATTTTCTAATCAAATATAATATTAATATATTATTTACTACAATAAATTACAGTCTCAGTGCATGCCTAAAAGCGTTTTTCTCAACACGTGGTCCCGCTGGTGAGTCAGCGATGTTTATGGGCTTACAACGCTAAAACCGCAGTAGACAGGGTTGAAATATCCTACTGTATGGCTTTTCGATGAATAAACAAAACATAAAATTCAACGTATGTAATTTATAATAAAAAAATGCCCTTGTCTCATTTTACTGGATTAAAAAAAATACAATAAAAATCAGCATAAGAAAATATACATAATTTGATAAATAGCACGACAATAATCATTATATTATTTGTACGAAATGTAGGCCATGGAAAGACTTTAACAGAAAGGAACGCTTTCCAACCTTCCCAGTGAGCTTTAATATAGATGTGAAAAATACTCTTATTTGGCATAAATTGTTGATTTTAAACACCTATTAAGTTATAGGTTTTTGTTATAAAAGGCATTAGCTTTATTAAAATGTACTAACTATTAGACCTTATTTTAAGCAAAACTTAAAGTTGATAACTACTGACCTCTATTGACTATGTTATGTTGTCCAATTTTATCGTGCCCCATCCCCTCACTGATTTTAGAGTATGTCAAAATCTATATATGTGTATTAAATATAACAAAAAAAACACCCAAATTTTGTACCATATGTCACATAATTGCTGGACAGATACACTTATTGTCCCTTAGTATTTTGGGTGCAACAAAAACGTCTAAGCTTGTTATTTGGGGTTAGTAATTATTGAGACAAACTCATCTCAGACCATTTTTTTACTTTCCACAACTGGATTTAAAATAAACCTAATTATTTTATTTTGTCTCTTTGTATCTTAGAGATATGACGCCAGGATGTGCTTTAATTTATGCTATACTACACGGGTCACTATTCTCATCCGTTTGTGACACTTGAGTTCGCAAGTTCTGGTCATAGATTTGTACCTTGTAAAAGCACGGCCAGAATCTAGATAACGTTTTTTAATATGCGAATCACATGTAGCTCCATCATAGTCATCAATATTTTATGCTCCTGTGATTAGGTCTTAAAGAAAATAAATATTCATAACTCTATGTTTACTATATAGAGACTTTGTATCATCATTATATAGAGTGAAGAAGCAAACCGAAGAATTTTGATATTTAAGACAATGCCTTTTTATGAAAATCACCCATTTTAAAATATTCAAGAAGACGTATAGGTTTTAAACTCACAAAAGTCCTTGTTGACAAAACTACACAATCAATCTATAAACGAATCTGCATACTAACTACATACATATGTGGCATCAACAAACATGGTTGAGTTGAAAACGTTACGTTGGCAACGAATCTGCATACTAACTACATACATATGTGGCATCAACAAATATGGTTGAGCTTAAAACGTTACGTTGGCAATGAATCTGCATACTAACTACATACATATGTGTCATCAACAAATATGGTTGAGTTGAAAACGTTACGTTGGCAATGAATCTGCATATTAACTACATACATATGTGTCATCAACAAATATGGTTGAGTTGAAAACGTTACGTTGGCAACGAATCTACATACTAACTACATACATATGTGTCATCAACAAATATGGTTGAGTTGAAAACGTTACGTTGGCAAAGTAATAACGGCAGTTGAGACAAAAGCCAAACTTCTTAAATATAGGGAACTCAGAAGATATATTACATTTCTATTAGGGCACAAAACACTCAGATGACAGAAAACAACATATTAATCTAAAAGCCATTAATATTACCATACTTTTAAACACTACTGGTGGCAGAAAATCCCTGAACACAATTTTTTGAAATATTAGAATCTTGGTCTTGTTAGATCATCTCTACATAGTGCCAAAACGTATTAAAGGTTTCCAGTTATCGGTTTTAACTTAAACAATTATCAAACTGACAAAGACACTAGATAGTGTCAAAACGTATGCCAGGTTTCCAGTTATCGGTTTTAACTTAAACAGTTATCAAACTGTGAAAGGCACTAGATAGTATCAAAACGTATGACAGGTTTCCAGTTATCGGTTTTAACTTAAACAGTTATCAAACTGAAAAAGACACTGGATAGTGTCAAAACGTATGCCAGGTTTCCAGTTATCGGTTTTAACTTAAACAGTTATCAAACTGTGAAAGACACTAGATAGTGTCAAAACGTATGCCAGGTTTCCAGTTATCGGTTTTAACTTAAAAAGTTATCAAACTGAGAAAGACACTGGATACTGTCAGAACGTACGACAGGTTTCCAGTTATCGGTTTTAACTTGATCAGTTTTAACTCATGGTGTTAACCATTATTTGATGTTTCAACAAGAGGTTTAGTGAATGAAAGTGAATAATTAAATCGCTTTAAATGTAATACATTCTCATTAGTTTTGTAGTTCTACAAGATAATTATTCAACAAACAAAATTGAAATTGCTCATGAACTTCCTCTCTAAACTTATTTTGCAAGGAAGTAACTTGTAATTTATTGAAATAATGAATCGAAGCGTTTAGTTGTATGTATATATCGTTCGTTAGCATTGGAATTACATTGACCAGCACTAATCACCTGCACTGAATTTAATCATATCGACAAATAAACGTTCCATTTTGATTGTAAGACCTCAAAGTAGAAAAATCACTTACCTTTGACCTCACTATTCTAATGGTCAGAATACGTAACAATGTCGTAAGTATAACCTATATCTTATTAGCTTCTTATTAATTATCCTACCATAATCAACAACATAAAAACTAAAAACATCGTGTAGTGTATAAACCAGCCAATGGTTGTTCTTACCATCCAGTGACGTTCACCGGAGCGTCACATGATGATTTGATAGGGTTAAACACAAGATAATCTTCACAGGCCAACAGGCGCGGGAGTCTCCTGCTCCGGCTAGGATCGTTGATGTCTATCACGCACACAAAGAGTTTCTTGCAGTCTGTTGGATGCGGATAAAGTGGGTTAGCGAACAACTGAATTTCTGCGGGGGTTGGAACAGGGCACTTGAAGCCTAAAAATGCTGTGAAAATTTAAATGAATAAGTAATTATACGTCAGTTCACAGAACCTTAAAACAAAATCCACAAAATTTATTAGCTCGTTCAACAGCTTTATGCAGTGTTTATGTACATATTGATATCACAAAGTTGAAACTGTAACCAAAACCTTTACCGTCAACCCCAGGATCGGTTGTTTAAAAAAGTCCAGAATACCTGGTCCTTATTCCGACCATATAATGCAAATTTGCATACAGGTAAGTAATTGTGTGCTGTAATACATTGTCGCTGGAGTCAGAACCACCCAGAAGAGGTAGGAGATAACCCGTACAAGACTGTGAATGTCTTTCCTCCAATACATCTTGGTGGAAATGAGTAGCATTCGATCAGCAGGTTAAGCCAATCGGCAGAAGTGGTTTAACGTAAAGGTCATATAAGGGGGAAGCCTTCAGTCTACTAGGATCTCGGTTTAGTTAGTTTTATGAACTAAGTTTGGTAAAAACCTTCTTAGTTTCAAACCAAGCTTAGAGCTATTGATTGTGTAGCTATCTATATGAGTGATATATAAATTTAGTATTCCTAAAACTGTTTAATCTCGAAGTCTAAATTCAAGGGAGGTCCAGTTCAATCTACACTTTGATCAACATGTGTTATTGGGTTATACTAGTTTCGGAGAATTCCACTCCTCATCAGTAACCCTGAACACATGTTAGCCAAAAAGAGATAAGCTGGGCCTATATCATGGTGAAAAATTTTGTTGGTGCATTATCTTTTATTAATAACATCCATATTAAGCTTTATAATACTCAATCTAATAACAACCCGTTCAGTTTGGCAAGCATCTTGAAGTTTCTTATGGATTAGTAACAGCGATGAGCCATAATATATATTAATTTCAAAGATAACATCCAATCTAGGCGGCGGTTGCCAATTAGCCAACTTCGAAGTAAGTGTAATTTTATCACAACTACTTGAAGGGAGAAAATCAGAAAAAAAAAGCCAAAAGTATTCAACAAAATTTTATTATTAAATTTTGTTTTTCTAATGAAAACTTTTGAAATTTAAATCCAATTCACCAGAAAAATTGTTTACCCTTAAAGAGTGAACTTCCACAGCCAACGAGAAGATCTGTATACGTTTCACTGTAGTCTTGAACCCCAATGAGATACGTACCATTCTGTTCTAAGTTGGAGTGGGGGGGACTCAGAAAGCCTTGAAAGGTATCCAATCGAACGAAAAGAAATTTACTCTAGCTTACCCCACCGAAATATTATTCTTTTCTAGAATATGTGACTACTAGAAAAAAATTTGTTTACTATTTCCATTAATCTTGTAAAATAACTCGATTTGGACCAGCTTTCATATTTTTTGGGGCCCTACGGGTACGTTGTTAAAATATGAAGATGAGAAACTAATCCATCTTCAGGAGCTTGGAACTGGGGCCCTACGAGTACGTTGTTAAAATGCGAAGATGAGAAACTAATCCATCTCCAGGAGCTTGGAACTGGGGCCCTAAGAGTACATTGTTAAAATGCGAAGATGAGAAACAAATCCATCTTCAGGAGCTTGGAATTGGGGCCCTACGAGTACGTTGATAAAATGTGAAGATGAGAAACTAATCCAACTCCAGGAGCTTGGAACTGGAGGTCTTTATAGTTTGCTGATGTTCAAAATATAAGCGTTTTACTCAAAAAGATCAGATGCTATATTTACAAAAAAGGAAGTAAGTGTAGGGATGGCATTTCCATCATCCTTACATAATAGTACAGGCACACAGTGTACTAGAATGTTAACAAACAAAAAATAGGATAAATTAAACCCAACTGTGATTGAATATTGAATATTTTATTAATTTCTGTATCTTAATTCTTGCCTGTGCTACTATGTAGAGATGATGCAAGTGCCATCCCTACTATCATCTTTGCATTGTTTTTGAAGGATTGATATTAGTCATCCCTACATTTACTTTCTTTTTTGAAAAGTTTTTTTTCTTTACTTGTTTTCTTGTTTTAATGCAGTGTTTCAATAAACATAGGAAAATTGTACTTATAACCAAATTATAAATACGATGAGGTTCCAACTGTAATATTTATTGTTTATCTATTATTGGCTGGCAATTCCTGTTTCACCCTGTACTTAAGCTTTATAAAGGAACACCAAATGTCCGTAGGAAAGCTGACCTCAAGGGATAATGATAACATTATTTACACTACAATTTTATGATTTTTTTATTACTACTAGTTAATAATCCTTATAAAAGTGGATACTCCGTTTAAAACTATGTAACCTCAGTGAAATTGGTAGACATCATTGTTTTAGTTTTTGAGTTATTATGTAATAAAAAATAAACAGATAGAAAGAAGAAGAAGAAATTCAAATTTTTTGCTATGATATTTACAAACATTCCCAAAACTTGTGACTTGATCATTACATAGATATAGTTACAAAGGAAACACTGTATAGCATTGAAAAGTTGATCTATTGAGGAAATATTTAAAATACTATTTCGATGTGCAATACGAGCCATCTCTGCATAGGCAGCGCTACTGCCTGCCTGATAACTAAATGTTACTAGGGAAACATACAAACAACAGCACTGTGCCCTACTCATCAGGTATATATTAATATTAAGGATAATTAGTCTACCAAAGTTGTTATCTGTAGAATTAAGACTGTGAATATGTTGTCCCTGTCATTGTCCCTGTGTGGTTTGTGATGTTAATATTAAAAATTATGGCTCTACCTTAGTAGTGATGTGTAGATTTGAGTTATGAATATCTTGTCCCTGTCATTGTCCCTGTGTGGTTTGTGATGTTAATATTAAAAATTATGGCTCTACCTTAGTAGTGATGTGTAGATTTGAGTTATGAATATCTTGTCCCTGTCATTGTCCCTGTGTGGTTTGTTTCTTTGCTATATAACTTGGCAGAGAAGTCACTTGCACGGGGTTATTACATACTCATCTGTTTCCGTAAAAAAATAGCTTGTATGCATATAATCGTGTACACAAAGAGTAATTTTCAGTGGAGCCGTAAGAATAATTGATAAGTTCCTAGACTAGAAAAATTGCTACATTGTTTCAAGTTAAATTATTTTTACGAGATCGTTCATATGCTGAAATAATCAGAATCAGGAATATTTTAAATTCATTCTACTACTCTTACTAGAAGAATATGTATGATATAATGAGTTATGTAATACACATATTAAACACTCATCCGTGTTTATCTTAACTTAAAATAGTTGGATTTCAGAACACACAAACAATGGCTGTTGTTTTGCAAATACAACATTCGACTTTGTTAGAACACACAAACGATGAGTGTTGATTTGCAAATACAACATTCGATTTTGTTAGAACACGCAAACGATGAGTGTTAATTTGCAAATACAACATTCGATTTTGTTAGAACACACAAACGATGAGTGTCGTTTGTGTGTTCTAACAAAATCGAATGTTGTATTTGCAAATCAACAGTCATCGTTTGTGTGTTCTAACAAAATCGAATGTTGTATTTGCAAAACAATGACTGTTGATTTGCAAATACAACATTCGATTTTGCAGATCATGATTTAATGCATAATTTTATTCTTTGGTTACAGTTGCTTTTAACTTACATAATCAATCGCTTCTTCCGAAAGTAACCAGCTTCTAAAGTGTATTGACTAAATAGACAAGCCGACAGCTAGGAAAGTAGTTTTATACTTAATATGGTATTCTATGAATGCACATCATTACAAATGTAAAGGGCCGGAGGTCTAAGCTTTCACAAGACACTACAAAAAAAACTATTAAAAACCGAGCACGAAAGATTCCCATTTCCTCCGGCGAAAATGCTGTGCTGTTAAATCCTTGAACAAAATAGATTATTAGGCCTGCAAGAAAGATGAAAAGCTCGTTTGGCTACAGTTCTTTTACCATATTGTCTTAATTAATAAGTTTCGTATTTCAAAGCTGAAATTTGTAAGAATTATTCCTCCATATTTGTTTGTGCAGAAGGTCTTTTCTTCATTAGCAGAGTTCATCAGCTGGGTTGCACCTATCTGTGGGCAACGTCAACAAAGCAACTACAGAGGATTTGTGTCTTTTTTGTTATTGTTATTGTTGAAATCAGTCTTGAAGAGACATTGTTTTGGTGATTGTTTTCTAATTGTTGGATATTTATTTGATTACACAATTTATTTTTGTATACGTACTAATTTATCCTAATGGTAAACGAACATCCGCAACCTTTCTTAATTGGCTAATTACAAGACTTATGTGAGAAAGGAAAGAACAATGTAATAATATGTCAACCACACTATATCTGTTATATCAGTTCTGACGAGGCTTTCCGCCCAATAACAGAGCTCATCGAGTCAACTGGAGCACGACAGACGTAGTATTATTGGTCGATACGTTATTTGTATCATCAGTTACTATAACAGCAACAAATTGGTTTTATATATATTGTAAAATAAGTATCACTTTTTGTATCTTGAATTACCCGAGGTAAATGATTGCTTTAATCACATAGAGATGCCTATGAACAAAACTTAATTCTTAGTGAAAATTGTAAAACCATAACGTTTGTCTTGCCTACTTATTGATGTAAAAGTCGTGGGATGGGGAATATGTCTTCTGCCTATAAAACAACTCTTGATCTTATGTGTATATATATATATATATACGAATACAAACAAAATACAACAATTTTAAACATACACCTCTCAACCCTAACCAACACTTAGAAAACGGATCTTAACACAAAGGTTAAAAGCAACAGTATTTTACAAGTTTCTTGTAAGGGGTACGTCCATATAGAACTCTTTATATCCGACTGTTCTCAAGGTAATACAGTAGTGAATCTACGAACATGAAAAAATAACTTATCTATGGTAAAATTATTGACCAGTTAAACCATCACATACAACGTGTAGATCTTTACAGACGCCATGTCTAATTCAATGTACCAATCATGGTATGATATTTGTGGCCAAATACGCAAAGTGGTTCCTACCTTCACTGTCACATTCTGGTACTAAATCTGGCCAATCACATGCTCTTTTATTGAGATTGTAAGCTAAACCAACAGGACAGTCGAAGCCATAAGCAACTCCTTCAGCACACTTCCAGAATTTTCCACAATCAGTCTCATGAGGATAGTCACCCCATTGATGAGGACAGTGCTCAGAGGGTTGAGCAGGTTCTGTAATAGAAATATATAAAACAATCTAACTTATAAAATCGGCTTCGTCTTTAGAACAAATTACAAAACGAACGCTTGTTATAAATTTAGTCAAAATCAGTCTGATCCTATGAAAACAAGGTTTTAAATCAATTTTTTTTCTCATTCAGGTCTGGTAACGTCATTTACAGGGTTACCTAAATCTTCTCGTTCTTTCTTTTTTTTATCCTCCCGGAAGCTTACAAATGGAGTTAGTTTTAATAAACAAGTTATATCCACCATTTTCTTCTACGGTTTCTACTTCAACAGATACTTTTCGCACTAGGAAACACTGCTGTTTCTACTCTGCTAACGAATATCTTGTTATTTTGCATACTACCACTCTTTGGTAAAATCAGTGCTAACTGAAAATACCACAGTGATTATCTTTCTCGTACCGTGTATCTGATACCTCAGGGTTCGTGGCTGATTGTCGCAAAAACGCGTTCCGCACATTGGGGTCGTGGTGGGTGCGCGATAAGTGTGACAATCAAATCCCACTATTCGATCGGAAAAACAGCAAGTCTGCTAAGTAGCTTCCTTCTCTTAGGCTGTCAGTTCAAAATTAAGGATTGCTATGCGCAGATAGCTCTTTGTGTAGCTTTGTACAACAACAATTTTAAAAACAGCAAATAAGCGATTTAAATCTGTTAACCAGATTAAAAAAAAAGTATGGCGTACACAAATGAAAACAAGACGCAAGTTGGATATTTACTAGGAAATAATTTTCTGAGTAATTGAGATCACAGGAAATAACGAGAGACTGAACAACATGTACAATCGCAATAAATAATTCCCTATGAAAAAATATACTACATTATTTATTTATTGCTTCTTTATTAAAGGTATTGGTTATACTATTTAATATTATTATTCATTCTATTGTTTATTATTATTATTTTATTATAGAAATTTCTTTGCATTGTTAGCTTAATATATGTATTTAGGACTAACCTAATTCTCCTAAGCTAGCCGAATCTCGTGAGGTATTAGTTGGAAATATCGTTAACAGCGAGAGTACCCAACTTATGGAACAATGCACCCTAATCTTCATAAGTAGAAGCGTAATGAAACCATATTTAATTAACCGCCAGGTTGGTTTTAGTTTCACTCTAAGTACATAGCTGACTCTGGTAAGAACTTAATATGAATCTTTATTCAAACAAACACAGGGATAATGAACTTTACCTGTCACAATGGAGTCACCTTTACTGGAGATTTAAGTCTGAAGTTGTTTCATGATGTTGTAGATCGACTACCTCAGATAAAATCATATACAAGACTAAAACTGTTGAGATCGTATTCCAGACCAAATAAACCTCACATTACTTATTTAACTCTTTAACGTAAGACTTACCCAAAGTGACTAGCACTATCCACATGACTGTTTATTCCCACCATCTCAAACATAAGATATTTTATAACCTCGAGAGATAACCTTACTGCCAGTAGAAAATATAACCATCTAATTTCACATACTACAGGTAACCTTGCAGTTATCTTTACCACGGGAAGACAAAATGTGCTACTCTAGGTGAATGACACGGAATATTAGGTAGCTAGATCAAAAGTTAAACACCTTCTTGGTCAACGTGTTATGTGGAAACTGCGTTTACCTTCACAACTAACACATTAATAGAAGGAGGCAGAAAACACATGGTATACTTATATACCATGCCACTAGGTCACCTTTCTGGTTTGTTTTTATGGAATTTTTGGAAAAGCTACACTGAATAGTCTCCCTAATTTTTGCAATAATAGGCTAAAGGGGGTGTAGTAACTTAGTAACAGCCACTGCTAATTCTTGGGATACGCTTGTAAGAAGAAATAGTGGCTTGATCATCATTCTTAATAGTGCACACATATTTTTGCACAACAGAATGAAAACCACAAATCCTCAAATTCTAAGCCCGACCTCATTAATCACTAAATTATCAGATTTAAATTGAAGCTTTATTTTAATATGAAGATATCTTACACTGTTGTACTCTCTTTACTTTAAAAACCGATTTAGATACCCGTGGTGGACACAGAACAGATAGCCCATTGTGTAGCTTCGTGCTTAATAACAAACAAACTCTCTTTACTCTGAATGTTAAAATTCATATAGCTCTTTAATATATAATATATATTTCTATCCGCTTTCTGCTTGATTTAGAGGACATGTTTTCGAACTTTATGAAGCCAAGGAGCCATCTTATTTAATTTATTCCATCACAGAACATCAAACCTTAAAGTTTAGCCTAGATGAAAGTGACCAGGCTGTTATCTTTATGGGGACCCCTTGATGACTTTCGCAGAACCCTGGGTTTCCACGGAACAGAGCTTGAAAACCACTGATTTAGAGCAACTATTAAACATTCTCACAGCACCCTGCAAACAGTAAATGATAATTAATACATGACGTAGTGGGATGAAACAGCCAAATCTGTTTCCAAATTACATTTTTGTTTTAACTCACACATGAGGCTTAGTTATCAACTCTGGAGGGCAATCTATATATGTATTAGGCAGAGTTGTATGTCTGTTTTTCGCACAAGTTGTTGAAAGGGACTAGATGAACCAGTTTCGATTACATTTTGTACATTAAGTCAGATGCCTCTTACATCATACCAAAGATCCTGTTTAATTGGATAAGCAATCGGACGAACCCAGAGCTGGATGGTAGTGTAAAGGTCTGCGACTTATAAGAGAGTCGGTTACTCGGTGGACCTCTTCCTCCCTCCTTC